GTTATCTGCATTGTTCACACAAATACGAGGCTAAACAGAAATGTGTCCCTTTGCAAAATCAAACACTGACAAATAAGAGAGCACCACACTAGAGCTGATATAGGGCAATTTGTTTAGCAGAGTGATGTAAGCTTCGTTATGATTGCATCATCCATGACTTCTAGGAATAACATGATGCAATTCATATCATGTATGACGCAATACCAGCTTCAGATTGCATCATTCATTGTTTTGCCTAAAAAGCAAGTACTGTCTAAAGCCAGTCATAGATTTATTCATAGATCCAGTCAAAGATGTATTTGAGTCATTTCTGGTTTAAATTGAGATCCCTTCCCTTTATAACTCACTTATCCTCCTCCATTGGCAAGTCAAGGGTCGTATATACTGACCCAATAGCATATCTTGAAAACTAGAGCCAATCAATAATTTTAAGCATGATTTTCGTTCTCAGTGACCCAGAATTAGTAAAGTTTGACTACATTTATTTCAGAAGCATTTTGGCTGTAGAGCAGTGTTATTATATATTAAAATTCTATAAACAGACGATAAATAGATCACCTAGATACTATAGCCAAAATTTCCAAATTTCAGAGTGAAAGTTTCAAGATACAGAGGGCCTTTGAAATTTTCACCTTGAATTCCTAAACTTTGGCACCTGAATAAAGTGGCCTGGTTTTCAGAAGTGCTTATCATCCACAGTTTCCACTGAAGTTAATGGGAGCTGCAGGGGTTCAACACCACTAAAAAAAAAATCAATCACATTACTTAGGTCGCTATTTACAATAAGTACCCAAGTTTGAAAATACTGGCCAATGTAAAGAATACGGAGAGAGGAATATATGCAGGTAAACACGTTATTTTTACCTTATAGCACATAACTGTGCTCAATGTGCAATCAAATACAACATAAAAAAAATTAAAAGTGAGTCAGCTTTGGTGAACTGGCTTTTCTATGCCTGCATTTGGTGTTCTGAATTTTTCACATGGTAGAATAGGTTTACTATTTAGAGCTTTCAGCAGATTTAAATCAGGGCATTTTTATTCTCAGTTCTTTGGCTGGGCAGGATTACAGCTGTTGCAGGGGCAGCACATTCAATTTCTAATGGGAGGCACAGGGAGGGAGGAAGAAAGAATGTTTTATAGAGCTCTCTGTAGCCAATGTAAGTGCTCTGTTGATGGACTCCTAAACGAGTGATATCATAACATGGGGATTTAAATGTGTGTGTAAACTAGAAACTGAAAGATAACGAAGTAGAATGATCCTTTGAGATTTGAGAGACATCTCCCAAAGGAGGAGGGAGAATAAGATGATTTACCCAATTAAGTAAGTCTATTCCTCACACCATGCAAAAGAAAACTTGCATTTGTCGTACAAACGTACTCACCCATTTTCAGGCACCTAGCTTTTTAAATTTTTGTAGTCCTCAGAGTACATGAACACTGCACACTGCTTTTGGTGACATTTAGAGTACCTACCTGCATAGCCCTCAAAGGATGGATATTAAATTGCAGTGTAGTGAGTGAGGCATGGCTTAGGCAAACAAAGACACGCCTGAAGGGTGTGGGTATGTATGCGAGTACATCCCCAACATGCTCTCTACTCACCCAACCCGTGCCTCCCCATCTACACTGATACTTTTAGCAGTATTGTGTCCCACTGCCTCCCCACTGAAGAAGCCTTTCCCTGCTGCAGGAAAAGACTTCAGGGGGGAAAGGCATGGACACCTCCTACTGCTGGAGCCCTTCCCCACAGCGGGGAAAGACTGGCAGCAGGGACCCTCCTCTCTGCCAGACCCTTTTCGCTGCCAAGTACAGCTGTACACTTGGATGCAGCCTACTTTTCACTGCGGTGAGTAGCTACATGTACACCACACAACATCAGCAGTGGTGTGTAGTGTAGATGTAGCACTGAAGTATAAAAAAAAAGAACACATGGTCACAAAAAAAGTGATGTTGCCTTACAGTGTTTTGTTTAAATGTTTTATAGCTGGTTGTATAACTGTTTCATTAATCCTTTGATGATAGCAACACACCGCCAGAAAAAGTAACTGTGCCAGAGCTTTCTTAAGACAATGCTACTGTAGCTGTATGCTCCATGCTAAATCATTTGTTAATGTCTCATTCATGATCTTTTTTCTTCAGCTAGTCGTA